TACAATCTAATATATATTGTAGAAATCAAAATATAGTTGAAAATTAATGAAAAAATAATTTTTTTGTAAAAGACTATTATTTAAGGATAAAAAAAATTCTTGGAGCTATTTCTATTCTTATTTTTTACTATTGATGTCTTTAAGCAAGGTTTTTCATTCCTATAATAATAAAATAGATAGTGTAAGGATTTTGACAAGGCTTTTATATGTTCTATTTCAGTTTCTATTTTCTTTACAAAAATTAAGTATACGAATACTAAATATTTGGTAATAGTGAGTTTTGTGACCACCTTCTAATTGAATTTACTCTCAATTTTTAAAAATCCAAACCTAGATCTTTTAATTCTAAAATAAATATTTACTATCTAAATGACTTTTGGCTTTTATTACAACATCATGTTACAATAAGTCTATTGGATGAAAGAATAATATATTATGAAAGAGCTTAATAAAATTTTAAAAATATTTTAAAATTATAGGTAAAAAATAGAAATGTTGTAAAACATTTAGTGTTCATGTTTTTTTTGTAAGATAACTTCTATTTACCTTGTACTATCCTAAACAAGAAAAAATAAAATAGATTTAAAAAGAATATTATAAGAATCTTTAAATAAAATTTAAGAATAGATTTTAAAAGAATCACCAATAAAAACCTTAAATATATACATCAAGAGGTTGTTGTGAATTAAGATTGAATTTAGACTTGGAGGTACAAAACCATGCTCCCACATTAAGTGTAGGTTTTTTTTGTTAATTGAAGCAAAATATTAGGAAGAAGACATAACAAGATTTCTTTAAGCATTGATTTTGAGTAATTTGAGTGTATAATGACTTTTTGAAAATTTTACATAGTCAAGGTTGTTTAAGGTGACTTTATTTTTTTTTATAGAATAAAAAACAAATTACATTTTGGAGAATTTTGTAAATTTTTTATTAGAATGATATGTAAAAATTTGTGAATTTGTGAATATAATTGTATTAGATGTGTATTATAAATTTGATCTTCATCAAATAGTTAGAATAAAGATTTTTGACATTCAAATGGATTAAGATCTCAAAAATTGGATTTTGAGGTAAATAAAGGTTTTTATAATTTTGAACAATATCCTAATTGAATTAAATGGACTTTTTTGATCTAATATTTGGATTTATTTTTAATACTTTTTAAAAAAATTAGAATAAGAAAATGATGCATAAAAGAGAGATTGATGCTCAAAGATTGACATCAAGATTAAAGAAGGATGATATCCAATATTTAAGCAAATTAGGTATTTTTATTTCAATTGATAATGTCAATTCTCTTCCAATTTTATATACTTGTTAATAAGGAAATTGAGAAGTTTGATAAATTTGAATAAAAATCAATAGTTAATTTAATGATTATTGAGGCTTTCAATATAATGTAGAATTTAATTACGAGATTTTAGAATTACTAAAATTTTGTTAGAATTTCTTTATAATTATTTAAGGATTTATTTAATATTTTTAAATATTAATTAGGATTTTTTGGATTGATTAAAGTTTCTTGAGGATTTAATTAAGATTATTTAAGAATATTTAAGGTTTATTTAGAATTAATTAGAGTATAATAAGATATATCTAGGATTTTTTAAATATTAATAAAGTATACTATGGAAACAAAAAACTATATAGGATTCAAATTATCCATAATTTTTGATGACAATATTGACTTTGAAGAATCATATTTCAATGCAATACATTGTAGGTTAAGATCATCAACTTGAAGAGGAAAATTGGCACATAATGCATATCAAGAAGTGTAGTGTGATCATGTTGTAGTGGCACTAATTTCATCATGGTAGTGGTCTCATATACACTAAATTGTGGGAAGTGCCAAAATTGATGGTTATAATGGCTGCATTGTTGTGCCAAATGTGTGTACATTCTCTAACCATGAGTGCTACTATTGATTGACTATTAACATCCAATATGAATGTTGACAATAGACTTGTGAAGATAATATATGAGAAGAATACAAATGGATTGCAAAGGTAGCTCCAAATATGAAATGGAATATGTAAGAAGTTCTATGCAATAATCAAGAACTAACCTATTAAATTTAAAATCAAAAACTTAAAAAGATTTAAGGTGACTTTCAAAAAAACCTCCAAAACTTTAAAAATATATATATATATATATATATATATATATAAAATAAAAAATAGCTATATATAATTTTGTGTTTCAGAAGAAATTTCGTATAAGCTAAAAAAAACCAACTAAATAGTAAGACTGTCCTAGCACAATAACAACAAATGCATTCAACATGAAAGATTAAACCTCTTAGATCTAGATACAATGTTAAATACATTAAGTGCAAGATAGATGTTTAAGTCAATTCTACTTGAATAATATACAATTAAAAGATCAGATTGTTTAAGTGGGCTTTTTTTTATTTAAAGACATTTATTTTCAACTCTAAAAAGTTAGTAAACAACAAATAAAACACATATTGTATCACAATACTTAAACAACATTAGATTAGATAAAAACATGATAATAATATAATATAGTTGCAACAAGCAAATTTATATAAAGATTAATATTTTAACTTATTTTTATAATATAGATACTATTATTATAAAATAGCCTACCATTTTTAATATTAAATAATTGACTGTGACTATTTTACTATAATTTTTTTTGATATTATCTTTTCTTCTTAGTCTTTTTGTAAAATTATAGAAGAGCGGATTAAGATGTTTTATAATTAGAATTAAGAAAACTTAATGGATTTTTATTACGGAAAAAGAAAAAAGTATTCTTAATTAAGATCTAGTTCTAAAAAAATTTAAAAATTGTATCCACAATCTACTTAATATCTTTGATATGTCTCATTACATGTCCAAATGTTGAGCTATAAAAATCAATTACTATCATTTATTAAAGAATTTTCAATTTCATATTGTAAATCTATACATAACTTACTATGAAATCTATATAATTATATCTAATAAAAACTTAACAATCTAATTAAATATAAGATAAGAAATGGTAGAAAATTTTCCTAAGATCAAATCCTTGTAACACTTATTCAATTAACCAAACGGATAAGAATAATCTAATTTTAACTTTTCATGCAAGAAGAGGCATTTTAAAATAAAGCAAACACAGAGACAAATCCATTCTAATTTCAAGTTCATGAATCACAAAAAAATTCTAAAAATAAAAATATATTTTTATATCACCAAAAGAAAGAAAGTAGACAACTAAAAGTTAGATATAGAATTGAAATTAGAATTGCTTTTGCTAAATGCAAATGGATTAAAGCATCTAGAACCAAGACAAAACACAACAAATTAATCCACAATTGGTGGATTAATTTATAAAAAAAAGTTCCACAAGAGCACGCACAAACAGACACTTTGGATGCACAGTTGCAGAGTTTCAGGGAGGTTCTGGAAGCATGCAACTGCAGCGCACTCTCCAGAAGGATCTAGATTCACTCAGTACACAGTTTCTTAGAAACAATCAAAATGTCGAGAGCTGCTTCCAGTGTGGGAGAATGTTTGCGCATCTTGTGCGGGCTCGACAAGCTGTCATCCACACTCCACCTCATGCTTTTCAACGCCGCACCTTTGTTTTTGTAGGCCTACAGAGTCCTTCGTCTCCTCCAGAAACGGCGAATAAGCTGCGGTCCTGAGCCTGGACAATCCCTCGAGGGATCAGAGGCGAAGTAGCGAGTGAGATTGGGCGTATGCAGGGGAGCTTTTCAATGGCATCTACGACCCGTTTCTTGTGTGAACAGCAAAATCCAGGGCAGTATGAACCAGAGGCTTGTGTAAACGCCAATGAAATGCCATAAAGAAGATACCAATGTAGATCATCATTCGGATAGTCTGGGCCCAGTAATCGTCTTCTTCACGATGTTGCGAAAAGCTGAAATGAGATCATGTGGGTCAAGTCATGCTTTTTGGACTACCTAGCTGTGAGCGTTTCAGGCTCTCTTCAACCTGCAGTAAGAATGTCACAATCGTGGCAAGGTCTGCTCCCCCATTATGTCTTGCACGTCCTGCACCCATTTTTCCATTAGTATATGAAAGTCGTTGGAAATCAAGAACGAATTGAATTTTGGAAAATGCCTCGTCGCAAATGGGATCGCCCCTCGTGATGAATCCTAGCCCATCTGGAGTGGAATAAGAATCTTGAGAATGTTCACTTGTGTGGAACACGGGCCGGAATTGCCACGTGCTCCATTAGTGAATTGTCACAATTCGCTCCCATTAGATACAGTGTTGCAGGGACCATTTTCTACATACGCTAGGACCGTTGGAAGAAGCGAAACGATTAGATGTCGATCTTAGTATCTTCCACACTCAGTCACAGCATAGTGCCAAATCGAATCTATTATTGAATCGCCGCTTCAAGTTCCTCTTTATCCACTAGTCTATTGAATTAAAAGCGGTTCAGTGGAACTTTAGGCGCTTTCTTTCTGCATTCCGTGGCTTTCCTAAATGCCGGGTGCCAGCTGTTGCGATGCCTCTAGTTACTACCTAGTAAAGCATAATTAAGTAAAGTATGTGATAGTCGCGCTATTCATCAAACTTCCTAGTATAAGACGATATGTTCAGAGCTTTTTCCCACAATTTTTCACTATGTTCAAGAAGGCCTCCACTGATAACTACTTCCTTAAGGTAACAGTCAGTCCATAAGTTCTGAATTACGCATCAAAGCATCCAATCCTCGACATTCAAGACATTTGGACACTGCCACTTCATAGGGAGCGTTACATCCTCAATGAGTTCGTTCATTGAGCAAAGAAGAAAGGTTTTTAGACTCAACGGATTACCCAATTTTTTTCGTGTGTTAAGTCCTTCCGGTATGCATAACCTGAAGTCTCATACTGTGAGATTATTTACTATCCAATATGGGATCCGTCGGATAGTATAGATCTGCTGCAATAGAGAGGTACCATCAAAGTTCCAAACATATGCCTTCATTGCATGAAACAGATTTAGTTATCTTCCATTCCAGCAAGATTCAGAAAGCAGTTTCCGGTTTGCAACAATTTATCCATCAATGTTACAGAATACACAGCAACTGTATTATACAATGACAAATTTGCCAGGATGGAGTAAGCAGGAATATAGTAACTACCTGCTAAACAATGATTGACAGTCGCTACACATCCTAATAATTTCTCATATGAACTACAACCAGAGCGACAAACGAGTTTCCATTTGCACGAAACGGTTTCAGGCAATAATTACAGGAGGTGCTGACTGCTACACATCGAAGACTCGAAAGGACGCAGATCGGTGAACCCGCGGTGCTCACCAACTGAGACCGGAAGATATAATCCATGGCTGTAAGGAGTGCCCTGATGTACCTGATCTGAAGGTTGATCAAGTTGCATTAGATTGATTGTTGGAAAAGCGTGATGAGAAGCACAAATTGAATTTAATGTTTGTATATCTTGACCATTATGAGCGGAGAGCGTGGAATTTGTCTCATAATACCCTCTGAAACCAGCCAGGATATTAGGGTTTCCAGAACCTTGATGATGATGAGCCCCGTAACCAGTCGCAGCTAGCCCACAATTCAGCCCCACAGACTCAAGACCACCAGATTGGATAGATAACTGCTTGTCAAATTGCTGCTGTGCACTTGTAGATGACCCTCCACAAGGAAGTTGCAGATGGTGAGAGAACCGAGACCCTCGGTTGCTGCAATCGCTACTGCTGGCCACCAACTGCTCCAGGGTAGAGTCGTCCGCCTGGGACAGGCCCAGAGACACTGGAGCAGATGCACCTTGGGTTGGGCGAGAGGCCCATGACTGCAATGACAGAAGAGAGAGAGCACGGCCAGAGTTCGCCAGTCCAGACACACTGGAGAGGCTCTGGGAGCAGGAACCGACACGACTTTGTTCCAAGCTGCCAAGAACCCCTCCCGTCGAAGAGGACAGCGATAAACCCTGGCCTGGTGAACCTAAAGGTCCATCCAGGAAGTGATAGCCACCCAGAATTAGGCCTGAAGATGGGTATGGAGCAGCCACAGGTGAACTAGAACCCTGGAGCAGTATAAAAAGTTGGTCAGGTGTGAGCCAATAATGCAATGTCGTTGGATTGCCTACCTATGCTTGCGAGTTACAGTGGACATAATGAATCACAGGCACTATATTGCATATAATTATAAATTATCAAGAGATTCAAATCCACCAACGATTACAGTTCGTGTAAGCTAGCTACACTTGCGACGAAGTAAAACACTTCTATAGTAGCTGTTTCGACAAACATAAAACCAACCTGAAGTTGAAGGGCAGGGATACTGCCATCCCTGCTTTTCAAAGGCCAAGGGCTTGAGCGAGTAAGGTTGTAGCCATATGCATGGAGTCCATGTTCGAGTGACGAAGGAAGGTGAGGATGCAAGAAACTGGACTGCTTGCTGTCTTCTGGATCACACGCACAAGTTAAGTGTTAGACAATGCAGGTATTGAAGGCAAATTGGAACGCACCACTCAACAAGCAAACAAATTTCGCAGCTTAAAGATGCAAAACTGAGCTCTTTGTGATGTATCAAAAGGGTGAAATAGGCATTGATTAATAGACGAAGAAGAGCAACTCCAGCGCTCGTATAGCATCCTAAATCTCTTACCAACCTGGAATGTAAAAGGGCGAGCCAGCAATGGAGGACGTGGATATTCCTCTGCGCAGGAAAGAGCCGCTGAAATCAAATAAAGACCGAGTCTCTGGTTGAGACTTCCGTCGCCGTTGATTATGACCTGCTAGTCTTCTACGACAACTGCGTTTTCCTTCATCAAATTCCTTCAGCACATGAAATCTGCATCAATAAACAATACTATTAAAAGGAAAGAAACATGATCTAACGAAATAGCCAACAACAATGGCATTTTAGTGGAAATAAAGTGTTCGGGATAAACAACTGAGCCAATCAAATTCGAGAACATTAATTACAATTATGTAAAAAGAGAGCCAAACATGAGCACAAGAGTTTTGTAAACAATGGAGGACGTAAGAGACACCAAAATCATTCGCTGAAGCTAAACTTGGTCCAATTCATCAGAATTCTACTGAAAAGCTTGACTTGTAAAAAAAAAAAAAAAAAAAAAAAAAAAAAATCGTATTTGATGACGTATGTTAATATGTTGCGACTCCCATAAAGCATCGCATAGAATTCTATGACTGAAACACTCGCAGCGACATGTAGTCATGGCCACAATATAAACTCAAGAGCAAAGCAAACCTAAGTTTACACAAGCACAGGCAAAAGCGCAAAGATGGTCAACAGAGACTGCACCTCGAACATTGTTGGCAGAAACGCTGCTCAATTCCAGCTGCTATTGCTGTGGCCGCTTTGGAGTGCATCTCACACACTTTGTGACGTTTGTGATAGTCTTTGCAACAGCTCAGGTCGGCATCACAACCCTGCACTTGACAACGCGGAATCTGTGTGCTGGGGGACAAGGCGCGCTGTTTCTTTCCTGGAGGTGAGAATGCTGTAAGGGAAGCTTTTACTTGCCCTACTACAGCGGAATTCTCAAAGTGTGTCCTGCGTCCAGGCTTCAAAGCAACTTTCTGGCAGTCACGCCCTCCATTAACCAAACCGCTTCCACTGCTCTGCCCTCCGCATGGTTGAGTATGATTGTCTTCTTCGGCTGGCCTATCTTCGTTTTTCGGTGATGGGGATGACCTAAGAGAGAAGAAATAACCATCCTTTCTACCACTTAGAGAGACAGGCTTGCCCACCGTAACTTGCTCAGCTTTATGCTCGTCTGGTTCATTTTTCACTAGAGCAGGAAAATCAGCACCACAGTTTCTCCTGCCGCCGGCCACATCAGAAATACCAGACGAAAAAGATGTTCCCAAATGCGTGCCGCTGCCCAAGATGTAGCCATGCTGAAATTCACCGGGTTTTGAAGCTCCTACAGCAGCTAAGCTCACTGCACTGCAAGCTGCGGCGACCCAACTGTTACTCTGGGGCCTCAGGTGCCCCTCTACTAGCCGGCTGGGGAAGCTCGTGATAGGATCCTCCCATTCCCATGATTCCGCGAGATTTTCATACTCCAAGCCTGTGCTAGACCAACATTCAGGAACTTGGATACCTGACATGACGCCAGGGTGGACAAGGTTGGTCTTCAATGCCATCGCCATATCTAGCCCACTTGTGCACAGAAATTGGAACTGCCGTAATAGGTCAACGCTTGTTAGGCTTATTCCCAAGTTTGTCGTTGCTTGCCAACAAGATGCCTACATTAGTTGGCCAGGCGGAAACCTCGACAGCAAAGGAAGAATGGCTTAAGAAGGTAGGAGGACTAAGTTGAGAAAAGGCTAGGCGCGAACCCACAAGAGATTCACCATGCAACTCTCGCACTCGTGATACAGTCGAAAGGAGGAGAAGGGGATGCTTTTGAACTAAAAGGTGACGTGACCATAGCCGACAGCTTCAGAACGCGATCCAGCCCACAAGCTTCAACATAGGAGTAACATACGACACTGACGGCCAAATTGGAAGCTCAGGCTGCTGAATGGTCCATAGGCTTCGGAGATTTGAACCAAAAAAACTCGCCAAGCTTCAGCAGTATCAAAGAACACGATCACCATCCATTTGAAGTGATCAGAGAAAAGCCTCTATATCTTATTAATCAAACTTCTAAAACTGTGGAGAGCCTCAGAAGCAAGTTTACCCTCAACAGCACGTCTAAGTAGTATTCGCACTTAGAGTAAGCAACTGAGGAAACAATACCCAATTTCCAGGTCTGCAATTGCCAGCGACTTTGAAAGAAGCACAGAAAATTCGGGCAACGATAGAAGGACGTCCATAGGAACGTCATAAGCACGTAAGACTGCGAAGCATGCGCTAATTTGCTAAAACACAAAAACTGAACTGCGGATTACAGACTCCACAGAATGCAGGCACACAATCGTGACTGGAAGGAGCGCAATCCTCATCACCAACACCAAACTGGCCTATTTGCAGCGTTCTAAGCATCCATAACTCCACCACTACCCGCAAACTCGAGAAATAAACAAAAAAGAAATAACCAACCAGGTAACTAGAAACCTGCACAAGTGACCATGCATCACCGAAACGTTCTGCTTTGAAATCTGCAATTTATCAAGCATATGGTGGCGCAGACCCCGACGGAGGTAAAATTAAAAACAATTACGACGACCATAAATATATTGTGACACCTCAAAATGGATGAAGAAAAGCCTAACTTATAGCAGCGCCCAGGATAAGCCAGGAAATCAGCAACAGCAAAGATCCTCCAGTCACTAAATATAGGAGGAGGATTGGCAACAAAACAAAAAGAGTGGCCATCAAAGATCGCCCACACATTTCCGTCAAGGCCACAAATGGACAACCGAGAATCACCGTCATGAAAACGACGTCGTCATTTTTCAGGGAGAAATGTGAGAGGGACCCAGTGAGATCCTTACGACTTTTATAATGAACTGATAGGCTAGTGTTCTACCTCCGTTGTTTCCTCTCTTTGATTTTTGGGTGGGAAATTTCTGAAAGTGAGTGTAGTTAATTTTCTGCAGCTTCGTAATTAGAAAGTGTAATTTGGGCACTGTGCTGATCTTTAACTAAAGTAGAATCCGTTACAGAGTCTTCACATGCTTCTCATCGCTCGCCAGAATGATTGTGGAATAGCCCACGCTACAGTTGACAACCTCAAGTTGAAATGCTAACCTACATTCCTGTTAGTGGAAGAAACTCAAGATGCGAGATTCCACAGAAGGTTCATAGTCCATCGGTTCGGTGAAAACTGAAAACCCTAGCAAGCCTTTTCTCAAAGAATTACTTCATTTGTGAGGAAGGGCAAAAGAAGGTTCCAGAGCAGTCTCTCTGAAGACTGCATTGCTTCCAACATACCTACAGCTCCTGTTAGACATAACTTTCCGGAAAAATCACTAGGAGCTTATTCCTCCCCGCCTGGTTCAGCGTTGAAGAGGATCAATAATGGGCTCGACTGTAAGGTGGAACCTGAGATGCTGAAATGTCACCAGTTGATAGACTGACGTAATTGGCTTCTTTCATTATATTTCTGAGGCCAGAAGGGTGAAGATAGAAAGCGAAGTTTCAGAAACTAGCATGCAAATCACAGTAAAACTGGCCACGATGCGTTGGTATTAGATTCTGAAATTAGTGGGATGGAAGTTTCTTGATCTAGCATTGGCAAGCGAGCTGCAGACGTATGACATGTGTTTGACTGAAACCCATGTACTACAATTTCTATACACAAAAAGAATACACCCAGCAGCAACTGGAACAGTGTTTAAAGCAGAGTTCAATCAGAGCAATTGTAAAAAAAAAAGCATTCAGAAGAAAAAATCAAGGTGCAACTTGAGCTCCTTCCATGCTCGAAAAGGAAGATGGAGCACATCTCGCCATGAACAAAAACAGAATTGTAACTTGAACAATTGATCGTTTCCAAAGAAAGACAGTCTCAGCAGCCAGAAATGCTAAATACAGCTGCACAAATGGATCTAGAATACAAAGGAATTACGAGTCAATAAGCCGTATATGTTTTCTGTTTCCTAGTAATACAGAGGCTGCTTCAACAGTCAAAGCATAACAGATCCTAATGATGAAAGAAATAGCGGCCTAAAACGCGGAACTAAAAGCCTACAACCGAACTAAGATCAATTACATCTCAGCTGCACGGAAGTGGTCCTGAAGTTGTTTGCAAAAGAGCTCCATGCCGTGATAGTAATAAGACGGATTCCACATGCCAAATAGAGATATACAAAATTCTCGGTCTCCTGACCTGGGTTCACTGGAGCAAAAACGAACCCACAACAAAATCTCTTGCAAAGAAATTTAATGGGAAAAATATTTCACAAAAAAACTATGCCGACTTCAGATTACATTCTCGGCGCTTACTGAGTGCTGAAAACAGAAGACTCGAAAGGACGAAGGGCGTTGAACCCGCTGCACTGACTGCCAGAGACCTGAGAATGTAATCCATTGCTGTGAGAGCTGGGCATCTGCATAAGGTCGATTGTTGGGCGAGCATGATGAGAAGAACCGGAGTTCAAGGCTTGAATATCCTGGCCGGCTTGAACTAAGGCAAGTATGGAATTCGTCTCGTCATACCCCCCTCCTAAACCAGACAGGATATTACCATTACCGGTGGCAGCCAGTCCACAATTCAGCCCCACAGACTCAAGACCACCAGATTGGATAGATAACTGCTTGTCAAATTGCTGCTGTGCACTTGTAGATGACCCTCCACAAGGAAGTTGCAGATGGTGAGAGAACCGAGACCCTCGGTTGCTGCAATCACTACTGCTGGCCACCAACTGCTCCAGGGTAGAGTCGTCCGCCTGGGACAGGCCCAGAGACACTGGAGCAGATGCACCTTGGGTTGGGCGAGAGGCCCATGACTGCGATGACAGAAGAGAGAGAGCACGGCCAGAGTTCGCCAGTCCAGACACACTGGAGAGGCTCTGGGAGCAGGAACCGACACGACTTTGTTCCAAGCTGCCAAGAACCCCTCCCGTCGAAGAGGACAGCGATAAACCCTGGCCTAGTGGACCTAAAGGACCCTCTAGGAAGTGATGGTTACCCAGATTCATGCCCGTGGATGTGTTCGGAGCTGGCATTTGCGACTTTGGATTCTGAAGAAGCGAGAGTAGCCGATCCGCTGTCGGACGGGATAGTGTTGAGAAGATTGACTGCCTCTCAGCGCTTGCAGCCTGCAATTGCTCGTCATCCACCACATGCAATACTTAGTTTCATATAACATTAAGGGAAATCTGCACCACATCAGTTCTCTATAGCAGAGTTTTGAACCAGCTATTACTGACTTTACTTACAATTTAGTTCGATAAACGGAAAAAAATGGAATGAAGATTATCCTCAGGAGGATGGTTTAATATTTACCTGAAGCTGACATGCCAGACTGTTTTCGTCCCTCCTCAACGTCGACCAGGGGTTCGTGCGCTTTAGAGTATCTGAATATGAATGAAGCTCATCATCGAGAGATGATCCTCTATGACGATGCAAAATGCTGGACCGCTTGCTGTCTGCTAAGCCACACGCAATCCAAAAAAAATTGTAAGAAATAATAATCATAATAATAATAATAATAATAAACTATCAATGTTGAATTAAAGTTTTAAAAAAATTGTAGTTATTGTTTTTGTTTTTGTTTTTAGAAAAATTCTCGATGTCAAACGAACCCAGGCTTCAGTATTTTAACTCTACTGTGCTTAACGAGTCAAACAAAGTAGAGTCCTTCTAGGAATTTAGCAGCTGAATGTCAAGCTATTGGAAGGATGGATCCAAAGAACCATGTTTCCACAGACCCTGTGAAGAGGGTGCATGTCGAAAACAGAGATAATGAAATAAATAAGGCAAGAATTAAACCTCTCAGATGCTTACAACAACGACAAATAAATCTGCGTCATTATCATAGACATAAGATCCGACACTGCATTCCCACAGGTCATCCACCATTTACAAAATTTATCAAAAGCTTCTTGATTACCTAGGAAATAGAACGGTGCAGAATCCATCGTTAGTGTGGAAGAGTCGCTGTACAGGGGAGATGAGTTACGCAAACCAAACACGGAATGTGTCTCTGGATGAGGCTTCCTGCGCCGCTCATTGTGACCTGCCAGCCTTCTACGACAACTGCGTTTCCCTTCATCGAACTCAGTCAGGACATGGAACCTGCGACAGCCAAAACCGATATGAATCAGTGTCATTAAAATGCTCTTGCACTGTGAAACTACGAGCACGTATGAGCTTCAGATATGGTGCACAATGTTTGAATTGAAGCTATATCTTTCCATTCCAAATACTAACAGCCAGCAACCGCATACGAAACCTCAAACTTGGACAGCGTTGTTGAGCAACAAGAAGGCAGCATAATCAAGCAGAGTGCATTCCAAGAACCGGGAAACAAAACATTAACCTTACATCGCTCAGAACAAGTGTTAGCATCACTAAAAGCTGTGCAATGCATCAAAGACAGGTGTTGTCAGATACAAAGACTCTTATATCCTCAAATGCTGCACTAACATACCTTCACAATGGCATATATATCCCAAGTACATTACAAATCCGAAGTTAAAAAAATACAAAACCGTAGCTATTCAGAAGCACTACCTCGAACACTGTTGACAGAAACGCTGCTCAATCCCAGCTGCAATGCATTTGGGCGCCTTGGAGTGCATCTCACACACCTTGTGACGCTTATGATAATCTTTGCAACCACTCAGATCAGCCTTACAGCCCTCCACTTGACAACGCGCGATCTGCATGCTAGGAGCCACAACGCGCTGTTTCTTCCCCGGAGGTGAGGGTGCAGGCGAGGACAAACCTTTGGCATGCCCTACTCCAGTAGAATCTTCAAAGTACGTCCTACGCCCAAGCTTCAACCCAATGTTTAAGGAATCTCCTGCTCCACTCACCGCACTGCTGCCATTGCTCGGAACAGCAGCTGCTCTTGTATTGTCATCTTTTTCTGGTGACCTCTCACCATTTCCTCGCGACTGAACTCCCCCCAAATCGAAAAGTAGCCTGTGCTTATGACCATTCAGAGTGGCCGGCGTGCCCAACACTGTCCGCTCCGCCCCATTCTCATCCGGCTCACTCTTCACTAACGAGGAGAGATCAGCACCGCAGCTGCCCCTTCCAGCGCTCACACCAGGAATACCTGATGATACGGACAATGCTCCAGAAGGCGTGCTACTCCCTGATGCCAATCCAATCGAAAAATCCGAAGCTCCAGCAGATGTGGTGGCCAGGGTAACGGCACTGCAAGCCGCACTGACCGGCCAATCGTTATTGTGCAACCTTTGGTTTCCCTCGCCTTGCTGAGGGTACACCATGGTCAGATTTTCCCATTCCCAAGAGTTTGCCTTGAGGTCCCACTCCATCCTGCCACTGCCAACGTAGTCTACCCCGCCACTCCCCTCCATGGAAGATGAGTCCGTCAGGTTTTGATGCTCCCAGGATGTGCTCGACCAACAATTTTCAGGCGCTTGAGGCCCTGAACTGCTGATGCCTGAGTGAACGTGGCTCCCATTGACTGCCATCGCCATGTATTGCTGGCTCATGTGCAGCAAGTGATTCTTACTCTTGCCTGCCGACTCCTTTTAGAAAACACGCCTCTTTCTAGGGTTACTGTAACGTTACACGATGCTCCTCAATCGCAATGCCGTCTACATTAGCTATGGGCAGAAAGTGAAAGAGTCGAGGAGCAGTTCTCAAGCAAAAGGACCGAGCCCTATTTGCAGCAAGTAGCTCGCAAATAATACCTCGCAACTCTCAAAGGAGGTCTGTACCAAACAGTGAGCACTGTAACTTAGGGCTAACTCTCGTGGTGAGGACTAATGTTTGGTTGCTTAAAGGTTACCAAAAACACACTGCCTGATCGACTGATGACTTTTTACCAGAGAGAGAGAGAGAGAGCGCGAAAAAAAAAAAAAAAAAAAAAAAAAAAAAGGAAAAAAAAGGACAGCACCTCGCGAAAGACATCGACAATGAAAGGACAACAGCAGCTATCAACCTAGAGGTGGCACGACCATCACGCGGCGACCTCAAGCACGATCACGCTCGTCAGTTAAAACATCATAGAACGGTCCTTACTACCCAAAATCGCGTTGCTTGGAGCAAAACTCAAACACCCACTCACACAATCAATTAGCAACTTCAACTTAGCCTACTAAGAACGCCGCCATGAACTCAGCCCAGCTTGCAATCTCTACTAGGCGCGTCCGCACAAACCCGATTATCCAGCTGAACTTGAACTATCTACCACCATCTCCAGAACACTAACTAGCCCGACCTCACAAATACACCGACACCGAACCAACTACGCCGCAAAACTCTCAACACACAGCTCACAGCTTCGACTGCAACTACCTGACCATTCAACACCGAATCCTCCACTCGACCTTACAAGGGGCGCTGCTGCAGCACAGTTGCATAACATCATAATATGATTCTCCAACGCGACAGCTCAGGAACTGCTGCTTCATCACCAGGGGGTTCCTGATCGACATCGACACCGGCGCTGGCAGCACATCACCACCCACCACCTCCACCCTCAACCAGCCAGGCTAACCCCATCCACGTCCGTCCCAGTGATCCTCCAAAACAACGACCACCCAACCTCCAAGAGAGGCCCAATATTAACGCCCCAGCATCAGAGATCTGGACGTCACGCCCACTCACTCACGCTCCCAAACTACGCTCTACGCCTGCGGGCTTCCATGGGGTTGTTCATCGCCTTATTACCATCCCCCTTTCTTCCTACAACCGTGGGCTCTTGTGCGATTGCAAATGAAATTGCTAGCCTAGATCCAAAGCTCTGGGGCGGTCTCACTTAAATCCCGAAATTCCAGGCAGACACGAAAAGACGTAGAGTATCCATTAGAGGCTGCATCGCATTCCTCTGATTATGTAAAGGACACCTGGACCCATACCAAAGATACCCCGAAGTCTGCAAGTGGCATCATTTCGACTTTTGCTGGAACTTGGATTTCCTAAATACATGCGAGAGTAAAAAGAAAAAAAAAAATGGTTCGATTTCCAGCGAGGAAAATCCTTGGGCCGCCTCCACCGGAATCATTCCCCCTGGTTTCTTCCATAGTCAATTTTATAACCCAAGTTACTGTTTGATTACCAGGTAGTGACAAAGTAATGCTCAAAAGTATGGAGTAGCATTTTCACCACTTCTGTTGTTTTTTGCTACTTTTGTATCAGGCTGACACAATTTGGCTAGAATCTGTGATTAACATATATATAGAATTTTCCATAGCTCACCATACATGATACTGTTGAGAATCCCCAGAGAAACCACAGAGGTTAGAATGGACCAATCTGTGCATGCACCCAGTAGAATAACTGATGTACAGTGTGTGTATTCTCTTACACTGTGAGACGTCAATCTTTCCCTCTTTTTCTTTTCTTCCCTTCTTTCTTTTTTATGTAGTTACCAGGCTGTTTGAAATTTCTTGTGTTTGTGATTTCTACACATGATTGGAGCTGAGAGCTACCATGGTCTATGAGTTGCCATGGACTGGAAATGGTGATGGGATTAGGGTATGATGTAAAGTTGATTTTGGGGTCAGCTTTACACCTGCAATGGGTACAGGACAGTAGGCTCTCTAGACTTCTCAACCCCAATCACCACACATATGTTACCTCAGACAAAGATGCTTGACCTAAGATGATGATGAGGTAAATCTGTGCTTGTATTGGTCAAGTAAACAGCTCTACTACTCTCACCTACTGCCATCAGATCAAAATTGTTATTCTCATTACATTGTGACAGTTTGAACTTTCAACACTAAAAACTCCACACACCTCAGTAGTAAGCAATAAAAGGTCTTCACTCAAACCTATAACATTCTCTCTTCTACCATCATCAGCCCTCTTAATATTCCACACTTCCAGCTTATTATGTGCTGTAGATATGAAAGTTTTTTGCAACAAGTGAAACATGAAGAACGTCCACATTTTTTACAAGAAGCAGGTGAAGGGATACCAACCTCTAGAAACATGCATTACACTGCTTGTGATGAAGAAAGGTTTGTCAATTCCTCTTTAGTGAAAGACCAAATAATAGGTAGATTTCTTCTTCTTCTTCTTCTTCTTCTTTTTTTTTTAATGTAACTTCAAGTTTTCTGTTTCTTTATTTACTTTGTTTGTTTGTTTGTTTGTTTGTTATTCCTTCAGTATCCCTGCTAGTGAAAGCATGTAACTTGGTCTTCAGATGTTAATTTCTAAGGCATTACTACTTATAGCACTAATTTATGATGGTAGCATAAAGATAATCCCTTGTACAATTCAAAAAACGAAAGAACAAACACCCTAGATATTAGTAAACATTTATTTATTTACTTATTTATTGATGTTATTTGTTTGGTTTGAAATTGTGATCATTGTGCCATGCATAGACCAACAGACATTAATGGTTGTGAGAGTGATTTATTGTCAAATTATAATGATGCTCCAACTAAACTCTTTTCTTTTCTTTTTAATATGTCCTTCTAAAACCTTTTACACTACATTTCAAAACAAATTGAAAATGAAGTAAAATGACACTAACATGTTTTTATTTTTAAGCAAGGATGTAATATATTGAGTGCTGCAATTCTTTGAAGCAGGTCTTAACACAACTTTCATAGCACTTTTAACATTGTCATCATAACTGAATAGGAGCTTGTTAATTCATTTTTTTCAATCAAAGTGAAATTTAACAAAATTATTATTAAATCAATGAAGAATCTGATTATTTCTTTTGTATGTATGTGTGTGTATGTAAAATACATATTCTTACACACATGTAGAAAATAAATATTCTTTTCAGAGGTTTCCTCCCCTTCTCCTTATATAATTTTTTATTATGGTGTGTGTACACATATTTTACAGTAAATTTTATTCTATATGTATGTAAATATATACATATATGATTATAAAAATTCAAAACTCTTTAGGTAGAATTTTACAAATCACTCTTTAATTGCAAAATGATACATCCAACACTTATTTATGTATTCCTCTCCTCAAAAAATTGATAATGATCTAGAGGTTTTAGATATGACATATTTGGAGAACAATTTATTTTTATTGATTTTATCTCATTGGTCACATAATTTATGCCAGTCATAGATATTCCTTGAACATCTTTTAACATCTTTTAAATACTTTACAGATAAAATTATACCCTAACATCAGTACATGATAAACAAACACCTTTGAAGCTAAAACTCAGTACTATTGAATCCTCTTTAAAAGCAAAAAATATTTGTCTTTAACAATCTTGCATACTTCTAGCAAATATCAAAATCCACATATTATGTTTAATCTAACCTTCTTCTAAGTTCCTTCTACTTTTATCTTAAATTTGATTTTTGGAGGTCAATGATCTGGTCCATCATAAATGGAATAAACCATATCAAAAACAATTGACAGATTCATTCATACTTGAAAAGTTCTATGTACAAAAAGAATTGTGTAGAAAAATTGTGTGTTCCCCATGGCAACTGGCCATATCATGTCAAACCTTGCAGGGGTGTTCATCTTGTTTCCCAAAATTCACCCTTTCCACACCCATCTCTGATCCAGTAATGAAGAGGAAGTGCAAACTGGCACAAATGAGGCAGGCATCAGGAGATGGACAAACAATCCTTTTATTCAATGCCACATCATTAACAATCAAATGTTTGCAGTGAACCCAAAATAGCACACAAACTCCACCCAATCTAATGCCCGGTGGGGCAACAGTTTCCTAGACTGACTCTTGCAGGGTGCTAAACACCTCTTCAATCAGGCTTAACACACAAAGATCCAGAAATTGAAAAGTGGGGCTCATTGCAAAAGGGTGAGAGAAGGGGGGGGGGATCATTGTTGTTGAGAATTAAATTGGGGGAGAAACCTTATATTGTGTGCCATGTCAGTGTTAGAGGGGATAAATAAGAAGAATTAGCAGAAGAAGAAGCATGAGCATATGATGATGTTCTCTAGGAATACAAGGGTGGCAGCTTTTCCTAGAAGTTACAAATTGAAACCATATCCTGGTACTCTTGTTTTGAAGCATAGCTGGGTTATTCGCATGAAAACCCAGTCTCTAGGTTGTGACTCCATGGTGGCTTCCTGGCATTGAACCCCTCTGTTTATACCCCTCATTGTAAGGGACCTTCCTTATCAACCCTGAGCTGTGAAGGCAGAATTGTCAACATTATTTCTTTTCTTTTCTTTTCTTGACTTTTGTTGATTTATTTATAGATGGTAATTAAATACATCATAAAGTGCAGTTTATGTATAATTTTTCACAAACAGATATTTTACCTGAGTTAGTAATTTTGTGTTAACAAAAATTATGCTGAGACAAGAGCAAAAAGAACCATACAAAAGAGTCGATTTAATTTCTAAGTGTGAAACTGTTTGATGGTAAATGAAGGGATGAAATTGTGTAAAGGCAAAGTTATGAGAGAAAGTACTTGTTGGACCACACCTTGTAGATGAAATGGGTTGAACTTGGTTTGCAATTTTCAAGACTTGGGGAATTTGTCTAGCACATGGCAACTTGAAAAAGCTTGTGAATTTTATGTGCAAAATTGAAACAATGTCATTTCATCCTTGAAATACACCATGGAGTTGTGCATCAATTACATAAACAAATAAATATTCATTCATTTCAATATATATATATATATATATATATATATATTAGAATAATATCTTTGCCCATCAATCCAATTGTGAATCAGACTTTTGCTCAACCTGGACTAAGGGTTGGTTTTCAAAGAATTTTAGAATGGAGAAGCAGAATTCTATTGTGAGCTGTCTTGATGTGGTTGACTTGCCATTGAACTTTTGAAGAACTTGAGCATGGGGAGGGAAGCAGAGAAGAGGGATCAGCTTTGGGCTTGACTAATGACAGGTTAGAGGAACTTTTGGAGGATCAATAACTGGCCATTATTCAACCAAGCATTTGACTTGTACAAAGGTTTTGGACTGGATACAGTATACCATGTGAAAATATACAACTATTCATGAGGCCACTAAATACATTCTTCTTGCCATCTAGGAGGTACAAGACTTTGTGCTTTTCTCCTGAGAGCCTAGGTCCTTTGAGCAGACATTCTCAAGAAATTGAGTAAAGTCATCAACAAAAGTACATCTACCTACGGTGCCTGGAATATGCCACTCTCACTACAGTAATTGGTAAAAAATTTGCCTTTAATTGATTCATGGACTGGCAAATGGAGACTGAACACATCAAACTTTTGTATCATTCTTAACACTGCTCTAACATCCAACTTAAGATTCATTGTGCACAAGGTGTGTGTGGGATCTATTACCTGCTTGTTTCAGCTTCTTTCCTAAAAACTGAAATGAATTGGATTTTGAAATGAAGGCACGTCAGAGAGAAAGCACCCTTCTTCAAATACAGAAACTGACAGAGGTAAAAATCAGTGTCTCCTTCACATGAAAAAGTTTAAGAAGTTTTAAAAAAACTTCCACACCAAAAACAAATACAGAAATGAAAGCAATCCCAGGAGGATCCATTGCAAAACAGAACCATGAATTCATGAAAAGTTGTGGAACTCTGTTTCCCAGGAATCTCAGTTAGCACCCTCTTGCCTTTTAGTGGTCAGAATCTCTTTGGTTGCCTATAACACAAATCTTTCTGATGTAAGTTTGTCATTTAGTCACAAAGCAGTAAAGACATAAAGTATTGCGATTCATATGCCCTGGATCTGGGATAGTAATCCAAGACACAATGATCTTCATTCCCTCTCCTTTTTTCTGTTCACTCCAAACCCGTAGCTGTTAGTGTATTTATTTTAAAAATATTTAAAGAATGATATTCTATTCAAGAGCTGCTGTAAGAGGGTGGCTTTT